TCAGTTGAGAAGTTCCTTTCTGAGGCAAATATAGGCCTTGAAAAATATTAATTAATTAATGTATATTTTATTTTATTTTAGACAGAGTCTCACTTTGTCACCCAGGCTGGAGTGCAGTGGTGTGATCACCACTCATTGCAGCCTCCACCTCCTAGGCTCAAGAAATCCTCCTGTCTCAGCCTCCTAAGTACTTGGAACTATATGTGTGCACCATCACACCCTGCTAATCTTTAAATTTTTAATAGAGATGGTCTTGCCATGTTGTCTAGGCTGATCTTGAATTCCTGAGTTCAAGCACTTCTCCCGCCGCGGTCTTCCAAAGTGTTGGGATTACAAGCATGAGCCACCACACCTGGCCTTGTGCACATTTTAAAGAAAACAATCAAATATATAGCAACTTCTACCTACAAATCACCATTCATCTACTTTGACTCTGTCAGTCTACTAATGTACAGTTTTTCAGATAGAGGTCATTGATATACTCACACTGTACACTATTATGTGTGTTTGTAAATTAATATATATGTATTCTACAAAGGCCATTATATTTATTATTTTAAATAATTATATCATATAATATATTGAAATAACAGTTTAGCCACTCTTGCTAGCTTTTAAAATCATGCCTGGGTTTTTTGTTTTGCTCTTATAAAAAAACACTTATTAGCTGGGTGCTGTGGCTCACAACTGTAATGCCAACACTTTGGGAGGCTGAGGCAGGCAGATCACTTGAGCTCAGGAGTTCAAGACCAGCCTGGGCAACATGGTGAAACCCCCATCTCTACAAAAAATACCAAAATTAGCCGAGCATAGTGGCACACATCTGTGGTCTCAGCTACTTGGGAAGCTGAGGTAGGATTGCTTGAGCCCAGGAGGTAGAGGCTGCAGTGAGCTGTGATCATGCCACTGCACTCAGCCTGGAGCAAGACTCCATCTCAAAAAACAAAACTAAAATTATACAAACATGATAATAAATTATAGGTAGTTATTTATGCACATATTTATGTATACAGTTAATCCTGCCTCACTGACCTTTTTCATAAAGGACTTAAGATAGCTAAGCTAACAAATTATTTTGCATTATAATTCAAAATTATTTTATTAAATCTTATGAATAGATTATATAGATTTCTAGTGTTATAGATTTCTAGTGTTTAAGATTCGGCTCCAGAGATTGGACAACTTTATTATACTTGGGGTTTTTTTTTTTTTTTTTTT